GAAAAGAGAGAGAAGGGAGGAGAGAGAGAGAGAGAGAGAGAGAGAGATTGGGACTCACTCAGACTGACAGAGTGAGACAGTCCCAAGTTTGATTAATTGCAGGCCTGGTTTTCTGGAGGGGAGGTCCCTTACACAAGTTGTCTGTCTAAATAACAGATCACTGTCCGGCTATGTCTTCTCTCTTTTAAATGTTACACAGCTACTAGAGCTATGAGTTGTATGCACACTTGGGCAACAGATGCTAAAGTGAATGAGAAAACAGCAAAGGAAAACTCCAAGTCCCTTGGGCAGTGGCTGTAGGAACCTTTGATGCTGTCCCAGTGCTGGCATGTGTACTCAGAGCCTCCTGATTCCGTATGAGATAGTCTCCAGGAGTGCCCCAGGCTCTCCACTGTATGCTTCTGTTAGAATCTAAAGTGTTGGAGAAATAATTATAAGTTGGTGGCTTAACCACTTCAGGACAACCACAACTTTTATTTCTGTACACCCTTTTTTTGTCAGAAGAAAACCAATATATAATATTTGAAAGTTAACCCCAGAAGCACTGGAAAACAGCAGTCCTGAGTATGGGTCTGTTTTGGTTTAAGTCTTTTCTCTCATCAATAGGAACACAGAAAAACAACATAGGAAAGGGTAAATGATCCATGAGAGCTCTCCTAGCCTACTCATCCTGAGGGTTGACAATTAGAAGCAGTAAGTTCCAAGCAGTGGGAAAAAAATGGGAAACACCCCATGAAATATTCAAGAATAGACATTGAGGATGAGTTACTGGAAGCTTGTGGGATTTGTTCTTTACCCAGAACAAAGGACATATATTTAAGTTTTGTTAGTTGTTGGAAAATTCAGTGTTCAGTCTTTAAAAGCTGAATGTTCATTAATGCTTTCCTTTCCCAATAGGAAAGCATGTTTTTACAAGTGGCACTTTGGGATTAGCTTTCAAAGAAAACTGCTTTTATGTCTTCTACTGTGAATGTTAGATGATGATTATATATTTTAAAATAGGCACTAGCAACCAAATGACCATTTGTTGAATAAATGACCTAGGACACAGCTGTATTTTAGATCAGCAACTTCTGCTCAGAACTGGTTCTTGGAGCCTGTTCCCTAAGGGAAGACTCCTGTCATTTGGTACTGGTCCTCAGGCATAGCACGCACAGGCTTGCCACAGATTATCAGAGAAAATGATAGTGTGCTTCATTACACAAAGGATGATCAAAATTGTCCCTGTAACAAGTATGGAAGACTAGGACCCAAAGAGCTGAAATGTTGGCTGAAAAACACATCCCAAGTTTCAGTGTTTCGATCAGCGCCTTAGCTTGAGTTCCCCACTGCCTACTGGACAGTATTTTCCCCTGCTTAGACTAGAGCTTGGTTGGCTGTTGTTTCTATTTAGAAGTTAAACTGAGAAGGAAGGTTTGAAACAGAAAGTATCACCGCATATAGGGATTCCATGGAAGATCAGTGTCACAATGTATCCAGTCCCCATGGTTCAGGTTTCAAATTAAGCCTAAACCTCCACCTTTGTAACAAGGTATCTTTTTCCAGGTTGGACTCCAGAGGTTAGCTTCCTCTCTGCCCTGTCATTCTGGCAATGTGGCACTCTAAACTCTGAGAGGCAGGACTTGTGCATGCCCTAGCTGTGCCTTCTATGCAGTTAGTGACCAAACCCAGGACCGCAGCTGCTCACCAATTTTGCCAACCCTTTCTCTACAACTCAGAGTGTTAACCAACTACAGTATGATCCTTTCTAGGATCTGGAGGCTCATTACTGCTTCCTATGTTAAAGTCATTCCTTTAGCAATGTTATGTTCCAGTTCTACGTTGCTCATTTAAGCTAAATTGAACATAAACCACCCTTTCCTGTTGTGTCTATTATTTGTCTAAAGTTTCCATTTTTTGTGAAAATAATATTATTTGATGCATGAGGCTTTTGTAAAGTATTTCTGAAGGAGAAAGATCTCTTCCCTTCATACCTTTTTTACAATATGATCTAAAGCTTTTTACTATCTAATCTCATTAGTTCTATTTCCTCCTCCCATGGAATTAGCTAAGATTTACATTAGAATTTCACCTTTATAACCATTCATCTTCTGATTTTAGATCAGTAGTTAACCTGTGTTGTAATTCTTCAAATCTGATTCCATAAAGTCAAAACACGTGTTTGACTTTTCATCTTTGTCACAAAAGACCTGAAATATTATGGCTTCCATATTAAACAATGGTTTTCTAATTTATCCTCTTAAACCTAGTGTTGAACACACACACACACACACACACACACACACACACACACACAAAGTTTACCTACAGACTAACATCTCTTCTCTTAGCCTTCTTGGAGACTTTCTAATCTGTATTACTTTTTGATGATTAATTTAAAGAGAAAATGTGAGGTAATAATGTTCATAATTGACAAAAGATAATGCTCTTAAATACTGTAGCTGCTTCATTCTCCAGGCAGAGCTACAAAGCTATAACTTAATGTGAAGTTTATTTTGAAGATAGTTCAATAATGCTCACTGAAGTCTTCAGAAACTTTTCTGAAATTCAATTTTATATGGCTCTTTGCTGCATTCAGGTGTCTACAAGTGACTAAAATGCCTATAAAAATGAAGAGCATTTTAAATCTCTAGATTTAAAATAAAATTTTAACTTAAAAATACTTATATCTAGAGATTGTATTTTGAATCTCTAGGACACTTAGGTTATTGTTTTTAAGGTTGTCATAGGAGATAGTATAGTATTCTTACAAACTAACAACCCATTACGTCAGAAGACAATGGAAGAGATTACTGGAAAGCATATTCTTGTGAAGACAAGTTTGTACTATCTGAAAGGTTTACATTGGAAGCCATTTCTGTTGTTGTACATTAGGAGGTTTCCTGGTCATAAAAACAGGAACAGAATTTTTAGACGAGCCAGGGAAGCACACACATGCAATGCTGCTAATCATGAGGCAGAGGCACAGAGATCATTAGGCTTGAGGCTAGATTGGGCTGCATACAGAGACTCTGCTGCAAGGAAAAAAATGAAAGGAAAGGGAAGGAAGGAAGGAAGGAAGGAAGGAAGGAAGGAAGGAAGGAAGGAAGGAAAAGGGCACTTTGGGGGGTGTCCCTTTTCATTAAAAGTGCAAATGTCTACTACTACTGGGAAAGCTATTAATGAGAAGCAGAGAAACTACATTTGCACAAGGGAAACGATTCTTCACAAGAGATTCAGCTGGGCACATTTTGCCCTTTAAGAGCCACTCAAGGACATTCAGTCCAGATGCAAGTTATCGGCAATCACTGACCAGAGAAGTTCCCTAAAGTGAGAGGCTGCTGTTCATTTACTGAGTCACAGATATTACTTAGGTATCCAGCAGCATGGGAAATAGTAAGGGCACTGAGTAGAGGACAAAGATCTGGATTCCTTTTCTGCTTGCTATTCTCCATCTATCACAGACATTCCAAGTCAAACAGCATTCCCGTCTGCACATAGCATCACTTACTTTGTAAAGAGGGCACAACTGCTCCACCTTAAAAATTTATCAGAGCTTGACAGTAGTGGTGCAGTCCTTTAACCCCAGCACTAGAGAGGCAGGGAATAGTGGTTCTTTGTGAGTTCAAGGCCAGCCTGGTGTACACAGCAAGTAGCTCTTAAAGAGAGAAATCCTGTCTTGAGAAACAAACAAACAAAAAAAAGCAACTTTATCAGAAGTTCTAGGGCAGGGTCCAGCATCCTGTCCTTTATCAGGACTTCCAAATAATTCTGAAATCTGCTCAAGCTCTATTAAGGATCACACAAGAATTATAGCAGTGCTAGGAAATGTACAAAGCATTAATAGAGTTGTACTAGTGCCTAGGTTAGCTGGGTCTCCTGCAGAAAGCCAATTTGATGAAAGAAGGAACTGACCCAACAACATGTGTACTAGAAACATCCTATATCTGCCCCTTATTTGTGTTATCTTGCCCAATTTTGATATGTAGAATTACTCCTAGAAACTTAGATGTATAGAGATGTATGATGTGGGGTTTTTTGTTTGTTTGTCTGCTTGTTTGTTTCATTGACAATCCTGCCTGTGCCAGTGAGCCAGCTGAGGCTGTTTCTGTTTGGTTTCAGTGCACTGTGAGGCCAGTGACTGGGGTCCTTGGAGTCCATGCATGAAGAAAGGAAAAACGTGTGGCTTCAAAAGAGGGACCGAAACACGGGTTCGAGAAATACTACAGCATCCTTCAGCCAAGGGTAACCTGTGTCCTCCAACCAGTGAGACAAGAACGTGTATAGTACAAAGAAAGAAGTGCTCGAAGGGAGAGCGAGGTACAGATACACTGACAAAATGTGCTTCTCTGAGCCCTCACAACTTGATGCATATTTCACTTTATAACTTTATATGGGATATTTGGCAGTATTCCTCATACAAAATCTCTAAAATGTGTAGAAAAAGACCATTGTGGCTCCAAGTTACAGATTATAGATACGATATATTTTTAGTATGGAACCTGATCTCAGAACTTTAGAGTATGATAAATGAACCTCATTTCAGAAGACTATTGTAAAAGCATTTGGGCTTGATTTTTCCCCTGTGATCTGTCTTCTTAATGCCTAGGAACTTTTGGGAAGTTTCATAAAGACAAGGTGAATATCACCTGGTATAAGACCAGAGCAAAGGGATCACCTCCACCAACACATCCCCTTCACAACTGCTTATATGTTAAATTGGTGCTGATGATTCCAAGTTTCAGATTTGAAGTAAAGGACCAAGGGCACTGAGGACGTTCTGTCCCAAGTTGCTTTTGTATATTTCATATAAGGTTGCATAACCTGTTAGATCAATATGATCTGTGTCAGAACTTGTTAAAATTTCTAAGTACCGAGGAGAAATTTACCTTGGATGTAGGGCATGAGTGGAAATAAACTTCGTTTCGAAGCACTGCAGTGGCCGATTTTTAAATTATCATCTTCCCATTTCTCAATCACATCCCCAGTACCAGTGCCTGCAAATCTGCTGTGTGCCTTTAGATAATTATAGGTAATCTTCTGGTGAGCCTGCAAATGACCCTCTCAATTAGCTAATTGACAGGGGCTAGATGCCCCTGCAGCTGAACTTCCTTAGCTTATTTTTAGTCGTTTCTTCACTTACTCATTCAACATGCTTGTATTAAAGGCTTACTTTTGTGACCTCGTATCTGTTAATCCCTAGAGATTCAAGTAGGTAGAAGGTTCTTTAACAGTACTCTGAAGTCAAACTAGGTAGAAGTGGAAAGCTGGAATAGCTACACAGATGGTCACAGTGTCCTATAGTAAGGGAGTTTCTTGGGGACACAAAGGAGGATGCTACAAACATGAACACTGTTTATATAAAAAAGAATTTGAGTCACCTGAGCTTTGCAAAATACTTTTTTAAATAGTATCTGGAGAATGAGTTGGCTATGATGAGAATGTTTGGAGACTTCCATTACCATTGCAACTCAATACTTAAGAGTACTAAAATTTCTGAAGATATGGGTTATGTTAAAGAGAACATCAGACTTTTGTAAATTTGTAAGAGGTTTAGATTAAAATTTAGTTTCAGAAATGAAAGTTGGCTAGTGGAAAAGGTCCTTTAGCATTTGTTACCAAATAATTTAAGACATCTTAGATTTTAAGAATTGGCTTTGGAAGTCAACTGTTGAGCACTCTGTTGGTATGAGCCCATTGCTGCATGGTTACTTCTGTTTACTAAATGGTTTTGAAATTTAATGAGCTACATGTAGCCTTTAATCATATTCGTTCTATAAATTATATAGTATTAATCAGTATTTTGTACATTTTCCTTTAAAATATAAATTAGATAAAGCTTACTCCATAAAATTGTTATATTATCTTTTCTCTTTTATTTGAGAATATGCTCTTCCAATATAACTTTTCTTGCACCTGTTATAAATATTGTCATAAGCGTCACTTCTTAAACCTAGCAACTAAAAGAGAAGCTATGCCATGAAGCTGTTTGAGTAGCAGCCTGTAACTTAAAAGTTCACTTAAAATTTTGATTCTGATCTTTGTCCCTCTCTTCTGAGGATACAGACACACTATACACTTGAAAACAGATTTATATACAATTAGGACAATATATATGTTTCATTATTTTTCAAATTTGATAATGCACAAGCTAACAGGAATTGCGGATACCCTGTAATGACATCCCTAGTCTCATTTCACTTTTTCTTAATCTTCACTTTTATTTCAGTGGGCTGGTTTCATTTGTTAAAGTGAGTTGAAAAATGTAAGGAAGCAATAAAACTGCATTCTTAATTCATTACCTCCTTCACACTTTCCTTAACTTCTTTGAATGTCTACTTATCTAATACCTTTTGTAAACAGCAAGAACTCAAGAAAGCAAGTAACTGTGATCTGTATATAGATGCTCTCCATCAACTCTATAGGTCATGGGAATCTTACCCAAGTCCTCACTTTGGCTTCGATATACATTTATGAAATACCAGTGATCCACCATGAAGCATTTTAAATGTAAATGGTAAAAAGCATAAACACTAAGAAAGGAAGGATTCCAGAAGGCTAAGTTGACTAGAAGACAGTGACCTAATGTTTCTGGATGAGCTGATCATTTTTTATCTTAAGAGGGGGGTAAATAGTAAGAAACCTTCAGGCAGTTTAAGAGATAAGCACTGTAAAACGATAATGACAAGATCTACCCTCTGGCGTATCTATCTGCTGCTTAATTACTCTGATTTCAGAGTTTAGAGATGCATAAAAATAGGAAGAGTTTTTTTTTTTTTAATTATCTACCTTCAGCACTGATAGAGAGTGAAGCAAAAGGCCAGGTCTCTGTTATAAGGTGCATCCTCAAATCTTGATTTGATACCTGGATTTGCAATCTGCCTGAGAGGGAAACCATGGGCAGAGGAAGGTCACTCTTATCTGGAGCAGGTGCAGAAGTTGTTTTCAGGATTTCTTTTCTGCTGTGCTCTAATTACCAAAGGCAGAAGCTCCAGGGAAGAATGATAAGATCCAGTAATGGTTTTCCAAGAAACATTCAGGAAAGTTAAATAAAAGGAAATAGTTTCTAGATACAGATAGATTGTATTTTGAAAAGACACAAAATCTTTTACACACATATTTTTCGTATTTCCATTTTTCTTTTGCTTATAGTAACTATGGGAAATGAGGCTAAGGAAATCAATGTATTTTTGAAGTCACAATTCCTACTTATAACCAACTGTACTATTTTATTTGTCTGCAATTTGGGAGTATCTTCTTTTATCTATCATGCACTCCTTTTAAAAATCAGCTTTGAATTATTCATATGATACTCTTAAAAAGCTATTACTATTAGAATGTTTCTGTGTCTTGAACATTTATCAACTTAATTACATATTTGAAGTGTTAAGACATATAAGATGCATTCTAAAGGGTTACATAGGCAATCATATAGACTTGAAGAATACATATATTAAAACTATATACTGAAATAATAAACGAAGAGATTATGCATTTTCAGTGGCTGTCAACCCACAATTCTTGACTTTTTGACACGCTCAGTGTAACCTCAGGTGAAGTGAAACAGCATGTGTATGTACCTGTATTTGATGTAAAGAGGTATGTGGGGTGTGTGTGTGTGTGTGTGTGTGTGTGTGTGTGTGTGTGTGTGTGTTTTTTTGTGTGTGTTTGTGTGTGTGTGTGTGGTTGTGT